TTTACTTTGATTGGTCAAATTTCAATCTAATCCCAATCCCAATCCGTAGTCTGATACGGGCTTTAGGCCTCTCTCTGATATTACGCACGGGACAGGAAGAAATTCCATAAAGTCCCGATTCAGTAACCCTCGACGAGTGATTAAACATCGCGCATCGTTCCTTCAATTTATCGGAACAATTTCTCTTTCGCGGAAAAAGGATCCAGTTCCCATTTGACATTTTTATTCCTTTATCGCGAAATATCGGAGAAATCTTGTAGAGCCGGGATTGTACACGCTCTTTGCGAGGAATGGGCTGATATATAGATACATCTGTTAGCGCTCCCTTTATTCAATAAAACACGGCCACTCTTGGCGCGAGATCAAAATCGACCTCTTAAAAACGCAACGATAAAATTTTGAATTGAGAAAACACAAGAGGAAAGCTGCGTCATCTGAATTTATATATAGATATATATATATATATATATGATTATTATTAGTATTAATTTATACAAATACTTTAATATCCTTATAAGATAGCGATTACTTCCCACATTGCACATTAGAGAAGTTTGATGCATATAAAGAGGGACGAGAGTAAAGAGTTCGTCTTTCGCGATCGATCTGTTTAGTGTTTCAATCTTCCGGAAATTGTCAGCCCACCGTTATCCTAGTTTTACACAGAAGGATCTTACTCCTCCTGTCCGTCGAGACGTTACAGTTACAAACATACCTCGAGAAAATTTGAAATTCGAATCTCTAGATACCTACGTCCCTCCTTATTACGCGCTGTCGCGCAAAGTAGAATGTCGTGACGGTACAAGTCACGACGGTATGTCACAACGGCATAAAGTCATGACGATACAGACAGTGAATTCTTTCTTTTTTTTTCCTTTGTCTTTAAATAGCTTAGAAAATATGTAAGTTCGGTTACGGCTGGGTGTGTCGCGGATATATCTTTGATCGTTGCATGTACGCTTTAAAATCTAGTTTAATAGAAAACGCGCCGCATCTCTCCTTCCGTTCCATAACGTACACGTTTCATTCTGCTTCAGTATATACACGGCGGGGGCGGTGCCGTTATTTCTTGGCACCGGAGTACTTAAATTAGGCTATCGTTTCTTTTTCTTTTCTTTTTTTCTCCCTTTAATCGGTCATTGGGGGTAATCGTCTTATCTTAAACATTAACAATACTTCGAATAAGGTTCGGAGAGAGGGTCGCGAACAGCAGCGAAGACGTACGGTCCTCCGACACTTCTCATACCTCCTACACGGTGCCTTCTATCGAACTGTGCGATTAACGTCAGTAGAAATGTATATGTCTGCGAGAATACAGAACGAGAAAACTAATAAAAGGGGGGAAACGGGCGTTATTCGCCGTAGCGCGCTTTTGAAAAATACTCTTAGACTAGGAAAGGAATATACGCTTCAGCGTTGAATATTTTAATAAATCAGTCGCCGATACGGTTAATACTTTAATCAATTTCGTCTATTCTGCGTAATAACGTTTTTCTTTTCTAATTTAAATATAGAGTTTAGTCTTTGTCACCGTATAAGACAAGTTACACTCTAATGATTGTTTCGGAATTGAAACGTTAAAATATTCACCTCTAGCTTCCAGTCAAAAATAATGTACAGTGTCACAAATCTCCGTGTCAAGTCTGATTCAACGATTCAGACATGGCATTGCTAAATTATTTTATGGACCGATAATACTCAATTAACACACACACATGCACACTATAATCTATACAGTCGCACACCAAGTTGTCTTGATGAAGAACAAAAATATTCTCTCAAAAGCGGCGCAAATTATGAAATCCCTTAATTATCGTACAACTTTTGATACGTTGTATGCGCATATATATACATATATACATACATACATACACACATACCTACATACACACACGCGCGCGCGCGCACACGCACATATATGTATATATATACACATAAAATATTTAATTGTGGATAAATAGTATTTGCAAAATAAAAGATTACATTGTAGCTTCAGATTAGATTTCGTGGGCTACGACTAAGAACGAAACTAGTGCTCAATTAATTATACTTCGAGGAAATCCTTCAATAAAGTAACGCGACGCTTTTCCGCGATATCCATTTGATTCTCTAGATCTCCTCGATCCGTTGTTTCCGCTCGTTCAATCTTCCACGAGAGGTTCTCTATTTCCGCCTCTAATTGAGCTTGCTGATACTCGAACTGTAAGCAAGATAATTTAATAACCGTCTGTTCTCATACGCATGTATCGTCTAACGTTACTATCGTAGAATCTCACCAGTTCTTTACGCGGACCAGATTCCATGTAATAGGCATACGGGTACGTGTACTGCAAGGTGTAACGGCAGCGCGCTAAGAGCGACGCCGCCTCGAACAGGTGCTGCCAGTCTATCCACGTACCACTCGCGTTCATCACCTTGTTGTTAATTCTCATCTTAATCCCCTCCAACGTTTGCTCCTCCAATTTCAACGACTTGCTGTGATTCTCCCACTGAAACAGAGCAAAACGGAAGATATGGCAAAAATGCAGCCGCATTGCCGTCCCGAGGTCTGCGAGGGCCTATCGCGGGGTCGGACTCACTCGCTCGTAGTAATGAAGGTACTTCTTGAGAGCCTCTCTCGCCTGCGCGTGAACGCTCTCGTGCGCGATGTTCGGATTCTCCTTGTAGCGCGAACACTCGTAATATTCACTGCCGTGTGCTTTCCAATCCCCAAGGCACATCCAGCAGAAGTCGTGCTTACAATTGTAACACTGCATGTGGTTACAGCCACCGTTCTTCTCTATGCAGATATGACATTTTGGACACTGCAACAAGATTTTAGAACACATTGAGCAACCCTGGCCGCTCTTCGCTGGCAATGCGATGCGGAACACTCACATCTTTGGTATGAGCACTAATGTAATTTGCCGTCTCGGAATCATCCGCGCATTTCGTCAGCCATTTCTTAATTGTACAGCAATCGGTCGGTGCATGGTAATCCATACCGCATCGGAAGCTAGAAATACGACGGTGTTTCCTCTTTTGTTTTCGTTCCCGTGACGCGAAACGCTCGGCGCGTACGACACGCCTCACCGCGTGTTGCTTACCAGAACGTAGTTTTACAAGATGAACACATCACTCTCTTTGCTCGTTGTTCCTTCGAGCGCAAAACTATTTGGCAATTTGGACCGGGACAAAATCGTAGTTGTGGATGAGACCTGACGGATTCACAGAAGGTAAACTGCTGATACCTTTCTTTCATGTTAGGCTTAGTAAGTAGGGGGAGGACAAAGTCCTCCGGAACTAGGACATCGCAATCCTGTGCCATGCAGCTTATACCTGGGCAGGGTACAGAATTCGGATAGAATGTTAGACGAGAATCGGCTGGTAAGATGAAAATAGTACTGCAGCGAGACGACGTTACTTACCGGTAGATATACCTTGAGTTATTTGTACTTCAAAATGCATACACCAGCAGTCTTTGCAAAACGAGTGTCCGCACGGCATCAGCGCACAGAACTTGTCCGCGGGGCACAACATAATGCAAATCGAACACATGCCGCCCCGCTGGCTCTTCGTTCCTGGCACTTGTTCGGGGGTAGGCTCAATCTTTTTAATCAATAAACTGGAAGCATTGTTACGGTACTTTGTGACGATATCATGCGACGCCCAGCTGTGCGCGTGCAACAACATTTTGGCTTGGGATGGCGAGACGTGAAGGCTAATACTTAACCGCTCTACGCTCTCGTTCAGAAGCCGCTCCACCTCCTCGACTCGCAAGCAGTCGACCACCGCGTACTCCGGGTCCTTGCGGTTCTGCTCGGGGTCCACGTCGTTGTCCACGTCGCCCCCCCAAGGCTGGATGTTGTAATAGTCCTCATAGCCCGGGTCTCCGCAGTCGGAGTCGGAGCAGTCCATTTCGCTGTCATTCTCGCTCGACATCTGCATAGAAAACGTTACTGCGCGTTAGCCGACGGCCGTTCGGGCTCTCTCGCGGCCGAGCAAGTTAGGTGCGACGCGCCGCGACCGAGCGTCGGGCACCAGGGGAGGCTCCTCTCGGCATAACCTTTACGGCCCCGTCCAAGTTCCGAGTGCCTCGCGACGAGCGGAACGACGCACGAGGGTCTGGCGAGTCGCGTCGAGCACGGGGGGGGGGGGGGGCACACGGGGGTCGCGTTGGTAAACGCTCGCGAGGAGACGACGGGCTTGTCGCGAGCGTCTCGTGGCGCGCGTCGAGGCGAGAAAGCTCTCGCGCGATTTACCATTCGCGCATTTTGCTCCTTTTTTTTTGGTGCGTTCTTTTTCGCAATCCGGAAGCCTGTTCTCCCGAGCTTTCTCTTTCACGCGCGCGATATATCTCTCCTTCTCCTCTCTGGCGCGTTGCCTCGGGGAGTGACAATGCCGTCGCGTGGATGCGCGACGTGAGGGTTGGCGTGGTGATGATTTCGTGCGCGAACGAACGACGAGGGGCGGCCCAGCGCCGTCTTCCTCTTTTCCACGGGAAGAGAGGGGACCCACCTTCTCGGTCGGCTGCGCCCGCCTGGCTATCAAGAGAGATGCATTTATGCGCCCGTTTCCGCGTACAAGGTCCGCGCCGCGAGCTGACCCGTGCACGGCCGTCGAAAGGGGGGCTGCGCGAACGAATTATCCTGAACCGGCCGAGTAACTGTTGTAAGCACGAACGAGCACGCGAGAGCGCATCGCGTCTCCCCTCTCCGTTCCGCCTTATCTCGCAAGCTGACAAGCTCTCGCCCCGCGCTCTCTCTTTCCCTCTCGCTCGCTCGCTCGCTCTTTCTCCTCGCCTCTCGCTCGCCAGTCCCTTTGCGCGCGCGCGCGCGCGCCCGCGCATACGTGTGTATGTGTGTACGACAGATGATCCCCATTTAACTGCAGAGCCGATAAGAACGAGTCAAAATCACCTGACGCGAAACAGCTGACGACGAGCGCGATCCTTGGAAGGGAGCATGCGGGATCGCTCTTTCTCCCCGAATGCGCATTTCCCGTTTTCCTCCTCCATTCCGTCTCGGAGTAAACATTGTACGCGCAAGATTGGAAGAGGGAGGGAGCCGGACGAATGGTCTGCGAAGCGATCAGTGACGTCACGGCTCTGCCTTGGATTAATTCCCGGTATAATGCGATTCTCGGTACAACTCGGTTCCTCGAAGCGCCTAGGCAAATACGCGACTAATTCGCTCGCGATTAAGTTCAATTAACGCTGGTGTACAAAGTAAATCTAGCATCTGTTAGTCGATTGTTCCAGACCCTTCGTCGGCACGTAAGGCGCGTGAAACAACAAATTATTATTGTCCCGTTGGAAACCTTCGTGGAAGATTCGCATCTGCCGGTTGTTTTACTCGAGAGATCCGTTGCCCGAACTTGTCGCAACGAGGCAATTAGATCCAAGCTCGAGATCAGCCGAGGAACGCGCGGCGTTCATTCTCGACGCACGATTGACGAAAATAATTAAAACGTACGTTCGATTTTTCGAATCGCGTTCGCGAGCGAGTTATCGACCGAGCCCGGTATACCAACCGCCGACCTACCTTCTCGACTGCAACTCGCGCGTAGGCGCGGGTGCCCGCGAGCGCGCGCAGATGGAGCCACCGACGAGGTTCGGAGCCTCGTTCTCCTCTTTGTCTCCTTCCTTCCGATCCTTTCTCTCGCTTTTCTCCCGCCGCGCGAGTTAGGGAGGGCCAGGCCGCCCGGCGAACCATTGGCCGCCTCGCCCACCTCCATCCTCCCACCGCCGTCCCCCCTTTCGCGCCGCGCGACTCCGAAGACTCTCGCGTCCATCGCGCGACGCCGATGCATGCGCCCCGAGTTGAAAATCCGCGGGGCTGTCAATCGCGAGTCTCTCACCGTCCCGCGAGCGTCACGATCGGCGCGAGTGCGCGTCGCGGACCCGCGTACGTACGAGCTGCCCGGCGCCGCGCAATCGACGCGGTCGACGCCGATAAAGAAAGAAAAGTATCCCCGCGATCATGCCGCGGTTGCACGCGCGCGACGGCGAACGACGACCCGCTCGACTCCGTGCCGAACGCCCTGTACGCGCGCGCGCCGAGTGAGACGCGAGTGTTTATAAGGAAAGACGCGCTCTTTCTCTCCTTCTCGCTCGCTTGCTCGCGCGTTTCCGCACACGCCGGCCCGGTGTCGGCGCGTCGCGAAGAAGACGGGAGAAAGATTTCAACGGGATCGTCGACGCGAGCCTCGCGTCTACTCTCTTTCTGCCGGAGGGTGCCTCCGTTGGTACCGGAAGTGTCGAAAAGTGTCAGAAGCGCCGTGGGACTCCGCCAAGGCCGCGCGGGAACTCGGGAACGTGAATCGTGGACGAAGGTGCGTATCCCCGGCACTCGGAAGACTCCTTTTCGTTTCTCTCTTTACCTTATCACGCTCCAATTGTTTTGCTTCTGACCGCCGTGACGTTTTATCGCAACGCGCGTGCGAATGGGAGGAGCGCGAGTGACTCTCGCGCTAGGCGATAAACGGGAATGATCTCAAATAGGCGCGTGCGCGCGGTAAGTAGATCTGAGGTCGAGTGCGAGGCGATTCCCTTCCAAAACCGAAAGTCTGCGGTTGTTGTAAAGTCGCAGCGTGTTACTTGTTTATTCTTCTTGTATAGTCCAGTTAAAATACAGAAAAAAGGGGGGATACCTAGAAAAATAAAAAGGGGCTATGAGCCGCGACAAGGTTTTAGTGTCAAAAATAATAGAGGAAAGTCCTCTATTATGAGGTGGGCTTTTAATATAAAATTTTTTTCGCCGTTTTGTAATACTTTTAAAGCCATTTAATTAAAAAATACACGGTCGGTCTCGCGCGCGCGGCACTATACTCATCATTGAAGCGTGCAAATTGGAAATTTGCACATTTCTTCCTCATCATTAAAGTAGGCAAATTAGAAATGAGCACATTGCTTCCATTGTTATGGCTTCCCCATAGAGGAAGCTTTAAGAGAGAAATCTAACTTTACTACGATGTTTCTTGAAAGTATTCAAATTATCCTTATTTCGCTCTTAAAGCTTCCTTTATGAGAAAGCCACGTGCAAATTTCTAATTTGCACATTTTACTTTACTTTACTTTTTTTCTAATTAGAAATTTGCACATTGCTTTTATTGTTATGGCTTCCTCATAGAGGAAGCTTTAAGAGCGATATAAGAATAATTTGAATACTTTCAAGAAACATCGTTGTAAAGTTAGATTTCTCTCTTAAAGC